GTGTGGTTCCTATTCCACCGGCAAGTCAAGAAAATTACATCATGAACACAGTCCAAGCACTTTCTGCGTAAGTTAGCCTATTTGAGTCTATCCCTGGTTGTTATCAGGTCCCAGAGTGCTCCTAACCAGGACTGGTCCTGCTCTCTAAGCCCTATGGGGGAAATTCCTGTCTTTGCTTCCATTTGGAGAGCTGGTTGCTACTTTGCCAATGGCTTAAGGTTCTGGTACTCTCTGAAGCTACTGTCGCATACCGTAAAGGTGCAGACCAGAACAAGAACCGACCTCTCTCACATAGTACAAGATAGCGCAGCGGAAGGCTAATATACCAATGATCCAAACAATCAATGTTGCAATGCAGACCGTAAAGGTGCAGACCAGAACATGAACCGACCTCTCTCACATAGTACAAGATTGCGCAGCGGAAGGCTAATGTACCAATGATCCAAACAATCAATGTTGCAATGCAGACCAAACATACATCATCATCATTCCATGGTGTGAAGGGGCCTGGCGCTCACACAGGAAGAATGCGCCAGTCCCCAACCATACACAGACGAAGAAGAGGGGGTTAGAGGAAGAAGAGGGGAAGATGGGAATGTCGTCGACACCAAGTCTTCGGTACAGGTCCCAAATAATCCCTCGTCCAATGTCTCAATCCCAATGTGGAGTCTGGATCCAAATGTCGTCAAGTCCCAAGTCACCAATCTGTCTCTCTCTCGTAGTCTGCAGATACTGACAAGTTAGGTAGTGAGAGGGTGAGGGAGAGATGGTGGACTTGGAAGAGGAAGAAGAAGAACTCTCTCTCTCTCTCAGAGTCCGGTACTAACCTGTGAAGGTGGCGCCTTGTTGCAGGTACATCGAAGGTGAAGCTGGAGGTATGGCGCGATAGGTAAGTCTCCCGGGCCTCCGTCAACCATTTCTCTCCCTCCAACGCTACTCTAGCTCCTAATAGCGCCCAGCGCTGAATACTACTGCTAACGCTACTACTACTACTGCAGCGCTCCTCCAGAGTGCTGCTGCCGAATCCTGAAGACTGCCTCCTGCCTCCTGCACGTGAAGTGCCTGGGAAGTCCCTATGAACTATCTCGTGACTGCCTGCAGCCTGCAGGGCGGGCCAGTCTTATATAATGCTGGCCCGTCCAGGAGGCAGCTCTTGCCAATGCCAAAACGTGCAAGGCCCTGGCGTTGAAGTTCAAACAAAGGTTGTCTTGAAAACGGGCCCAAAATGGCCTGTGCTAAAACCCTGATCTGGTGCCTAAGTTTCAGGGTAGGTCGACTTTATGAGGGCCTGTAAATGGCCCTTGTTTTCAGGCCTTTAGGCTGAAGCGATGCAGGGCCTGTAGGCCCTTGTTTTCAGGCTTTCAGGCTGAAACGACACAGGGCCTGTAGGCCCTTGTTTTCAGGCTTTTAGGCTGAAAACGACACANTGTAGGCCCTTGTTTTCAGGCTTTCAGGCTGAAACGACACAGGGCCTGTAGGCCCTTGTTTTCAGGCTTTTAGGCTGAAAACGACACAGGGCCTGGAAGGCCCTGATTTTCTGTCTGGTCGGGCCTTGCAGGCCCGTGTGGCTGCTCCATATGCCACAGCTACTCACTACTTCCTCCTAATCTTGTATTGCCCTAACACCTCACGGCTTCCTCTACTTATTCTTCCCTCTTGTGATACCTAATTTCATTCCCAATATTCCCATTATTCCTGTAATGATACCCTAGTGCCCGCCGGTTGTGGACAGCGTTTGCTAGGGGGGAGAACAATCTTGCCTTTCTCCTATTATGTTAGATCCATTGGTGCAACCCCATCCTGTTCCGCTGTCTGTCTGTCAGGATCCCACCAATCCGTAAAGTGCAGGGCAATTCCTGATACTTGTGCTATTAGCCTGCCTTTTACCCATGCTTCTTCAAATTCTTTCTGTATGCTGACCCTCTTTGTGGTTGTCGCCTTCGCTATATGTTGCATGCTGCGCCTCCACACGGGCCCCATTTGAGGGGCCCGACGGTTGCCGAAGGGCCCCCAGGCTGCGTACCACACAGCACGCGCCCTGGAGGCCCACGGTGGCCCTTCAGGCCCTAAGTAGCACACTAGTTAGATAGGGGTAGTTTTACTTATGCAATGACCCGTCATAACACAGACTGAGAACACTGCTGATTTCTGAAGTTCTGCCGATGGAATGGATGCCTTGATGAGATTCCCGCATTCTGCTGTGTTTTCTAAGTCTGTCTGTGTGTGTGCGTGCTTGTGACCTGCATGCCTGTCTGAGTGCTTGTTGGTATGAGTGTGTGTGGGACCCGCAAGGGTACTTGCTTGTTTGGTAGGCCCGTAGGGCCGGTACTTACCTGTGGCCGTGGCATTGAGGGTTGTAGCAGGGAAAACACTCAAGTGGCGAAGCTAGCGGCCCTGAGGCCCTTGGGGTAGCGGAAAAACACTCAAGTAGGCCGGTAGGCCGATACTGCACCCCACTGCAGTTGACGTGAGGGGTACTGGAGGCCGAGCAGAAAAAGACAAAGTTGGCAATTGTAGAGTCCAGTAGCGGTAGGGTAACCAGTCTGAGTCTAGAGCCTGTACGGGTAATATCAGGGTCTGCAATGATGTTTCCCTCCGAAACGGAGGAGGTACCGGTTGCTTGGAGAGGCCGAGCGGCCTGGAAGTCACCGCCCAAGAGGCAAGCAGGCCGCTATATCTAGAGGCGGAGGCAAGAGCTCCRCCTCATTCTTCAGTGTGCGAGTTGGGTGTCACGCTGCTGGAGCGCTAGGTGGAGGAGCGCTGGGCACTACAGCGCTGCTGGGAGGAAGAAGCCGGGAGCTTCCACCTTGGCTATGGTGGAGCTCTACCGGTAGGAGGAGGAGGGAGAAGKGGACCAAGGAGGAGAGTGGCGAGGTACTTACTGGCTATGGTAGACACCATCTTCATCTCCTTGCTAGGCGCTGCATCAGGAAGGCCCCAGTGGGGGTAGTGCCGCATCAAGGAAGCTCGGACAGAGTCAGGCATGGCGGTTGAGTGGGCAGCGGCACAGCTGCTGAGTGATGACCTTGGAGTAGGGCAGCGGTGTAGCTGCTTTGGGTTGTCTTTGGTACCGGAGGCTGAAGCCTCAGTTGTCCGCCATAGCCTCGGCCCGTATGTGGAGGAAGAAGAAGGGCTGCCATGGCTATGGTGGACCTCATCTTGTGCCTGCAGTAGAAGTGGGACTCGGACATTGATTCTGGTTCAGCTGTTCAACATTATTATTGTTTATTTATTGTTTGAATAAGAGAGGAGGAGATAAAGAGGAGGAGGCTGTTGAGCGAAGAAGAAGAGCTTTGTCTTTGGTCTATGCTGAAGTACATGATCTCTTTCTTCTTTCTTACTTCTTCTTCTTCTTCTTTCCCTCTCTCTCCTCTCAAGTTCTTTCATTTCTTCTGCAATTGGACGGCATTGGGCTCAAGTTCATTCATTTCTTTTCGTAATTGGACAACATTGTACTTTCTGATGATTGTGGACTTCAAAATTGGCCAGGATCGTAACATTGGTATCGGAGCGGATTCTACTTGTTGGCGAGAGTTGACTTTGCTGCCATAACCCTAACCCTAGTGGCAAGGGCTACCACTTAGGGTTAGGGCTGGAAGTTAGGGTTAAGTGGGGCAGCGTGGTAAAGGGAAGCTGCCCCCACCTGGCAGGGCCGTGTAGGGTCGACACTAGACCCGGCCAGGTTGCTTGAGTGCATGTTTATGGTG